GGAATAAATTTTTGCAAACGCTTCCCAAACCAAAACCTTATTTGGAAAGCGTCCAAGCCTCCAAGCCAAGTTATATGGAAAAAATTTGCAGTTTATAAAATTTCTTGACAAAAATCGCCGAATAGCAGTATTTCGCGATACTGTATGCATTTGAAAATTTTGAATCCAATAGCCCAATATTTCAACACGTTGACGCTCATTTTGAGGGTTTGCTTCCGAAAACAAATTTTTTTTTTGTTTTTGTTTTATAATACTCAAAATACAGGACTGCTAGGACTAGACATCGTGTGCAGCTACAAGCACAATGCGCAATGGACGTCGATAGACATTATTTACATCGACGGGCTAAATCCCTCTCATCCAACTGTACTTACGAAAGGCAAGCATTATAACACTTGTGGTGCAAATATATATTAACCTTGAACGGATGTGTACACCATTCGGAAAGGGCTTGAGATAGACCCACCTTTTACCATAACTGTCTTCTACCTGTACTTGTCTCTCCGTTTTGTTATCTTGTGTTCAACCTACAAGTCATAATTTTTGTGATATTTTAATGAAAGTTTTTGCCGATTGACGAACGGTAATGAAAACAGTTCGGATCGGACCACTGTTCGATCACCATAAAGGCGATCCACATATAGAGGCTTATCTTGAACAGTCATTATATAAGCAACCGTATTAAGTGAAATAGTGTAGGGCATGCAGTGGTGGGTCATGCCGCAATATACTGTTTTTACTTGTATTTAAAATAATATTCCACAAGGCGAATAGTTTCACATAAAAATCAAATCATCAAATTTGAATCAAGAAGAAAGTCTTTTTTACGGACTCCATCCCGTATAAGTGTACTCATGCAAGGTAAGCCTTGGTATGACAACAAAGATGTAATTTGTGTTACTCTATAGTATAATAATAATAATAATAATAATAATAATAATAATAATGTGAATGTGTGAACAATAATATATAAAATGTGAAAAATAATGAGTGAGGCCTTTGAAGAGAAGATAAATTTTGCTAAAATTCTATTACAAAGTGGAATTTAACTTTAATCTATTAGCAAATAAAAAGTTTGCAACTCGTTAAGTTTGCTAAAGAGATATTAAGACATAAAAAACACTTAATAAATGCATTTAACTTGAAACTGAAATTACATACGACTGTGAGGTTTATAATTCTTAACGTTTCGATGATTTTGTATGCCGTTTACAGTAAAAAAAAAAAGAAGAAAACGAAACAAGAAAACAAAACAAGATAAAAGGCACACACTATTATTATGATTCCACAGATTGAAAAAAATAAAATGTTATATTAATATATATTATAATCTTATATATATATAAATTTTTTTTTATCCGCCTGAGTGGCCGAGTAGGCAAGAGTCTCGACTAGCAACTCAATGGTCGTGGGTTCAAATCTCAAATGCGGTAGAGTTTTTAATAAAGCCAAAAGCCTTAGATGCTAGTGCTTTAAGACTTTAGTCTTAGAATTTATTCTCTGGCTAAATTTAATAATAATAATAATAATAAATATTTTTATTACGTGCTTGTATGTATTCTGATCATTTGTTCCCTTGGAAACGGCATTTATTGAGAAAACTTGGTACAATATCTATTAATCAAAATATTTTCCATCATTCTCAACAATCTTTTCCCATCTTTCTGGCAAGATGGTGGCGCCGAGTGGAAAGAGCGATGCAATTATCGATCCATTTTCGCAATTCTTTAACATTTTGAAACCGTACTGTGCTAGCTAAGCGTTATGTTCGGTGAATACGATACGGTGGGTGCGATAAAACTTCCCACTCCAGCTCCAGTTGGAGCATCCTTGATAATTCTTGTAACGTGTGGCCGAGCCAATGTGTGATGGAAGCCAATGACTTTGGGCTATTACTGGTCGTTTCTTCAACAATACATCGTTCAATTTGTTCAATTCACGTCGGCAGGGATCTGCAGTATGTAGATCGTAATACACTACACTTTAGTGATCCCACCACATGCACAGCAAAACTGTATGGTCATGTATGTTCCGTCTCGATGTCGATGTGGATGGCATTTCTCGATGAACTACCATGACATTTTGCGCTTAGGATCGTTGTAGTAGATTCACTTTTCATCGTCAGTCATAATACTTCATAGGAAACTTGTCCTTTTTCGCTTGTCAAGCAATGAAACCGCGATGTTGCAACGGTTTGGATTGGCATTTTCAATCAGTTCATATGTTAGCCATTTTCCGTCCTTTTGAATCTTTCTCAACGCATGTAAGCGCCTAGAATGAGCTGATTCATCAACTGCTAAGCCGTTGTCTTTGAACTTTTTTGATCCTCCAGTCCGTTGTTTATCATTGATATCAAAATCATCACTTGTAAACCATTGATAACAATTGGGATATGATCGATAGAATCACTATAAGCTTTTAAAAGTGTGTTCGAAGGGCTACGGCAGAGATTTCTTCAAGTCAAACAATAAGAGTAATGAATGTCGAAAATGCATTCCATGATTAGTGCCTGTATAATCGCTGAATAACTCAATAATACTAAATGTTATCTTACGTAGAAGAAGATCAAAATCATCGATTTTAGCCGTTATGTACATTGATACTCCGCATTTATTTATCATTTTCATCAATCGATCTCACTGATCAAGATAAATGCAAGCATCTGTTATATGCAATAGGTAAGGTTGGAACTGTTCAGATTTGTTTGCCTGAAACACTCAAGATTTATGTATAAAATACAATGAATACTCATTGCATTTCGTAGGCAATTTTCTCGAAGAAGAGAATTGGATTAGACCATTGGGAATATGTACCGTCATGTTCTCATATAGCAAGTAAGCAAAAAAATTGAGAAAAAATGGGTTTCAATTAGCTGTAAATCAATTGCGTAAAACACTTTGCATATGTCAGAGGAAGAATATTTTGTTCATCACTTTGTTCAATAAATAAACTGCACTTAACTATGTAAACTAAAAAAATTAATTCTATCGTCTTTGTAACATTCAAATTATAACCCGTGTTTTTTATAGTTCACCATGACGGAACGAATTTATAATGCACAACATCGCAACAATCGAAAAAAGTGTAAAAGTGAGTTTGATTTTTTTGCGACTTTAGGTGCACGACGTTCGCTCAAATCGGTTCGTTGTTGTTATGCGGCCACAGTCGAAAAAGTCGAAAAACCGCATCTTTCTCTTTTTTTATAAAAACACATGTAAATCGGCAGCAATGATGTATACATAGTTAAGCCAATACTACCAACTACGCGAACTAACCACATTATCTCGTAGTACCCGCGAAGTTTAAATGAAGAACTTATTTCATTTTTTGCTTAACTTATTTCAACCTGCTTTTCATAAATTAATTTAGACGTGCCCCACCAAAAGGGCCAACCAATCACGAACCAAATTAATTTTCGCCATTTGTTTGATACGTCATTTACGGATCTTAACAAGTATTGAAATGCTTAAAAAAGTTAAAATAAATGTAAATAATAATTTAAAGGAAGCAAAGAGAAATTTTGCGTCCTTCGATGTTTCAAGCATTGCTTCAATGAATAAAAGCACGTAACTGCTGACCTTCTAATCCAATTGCAAAATAGTTGAAAATTGTTCACCTTATGATATGATTTGGCAACATTTAAATGAATTATTATAAAAATGTAGATATCATCCACCAATACTAGGTATGAAAATACGAAACCGACTTTTGTTCTAGATTAGCCTAAACCCATGTGTAGAGGGCATATGTGTCTGCACTTGTGTGTGTGTGTGTGTGTGTGTGTGTGTGTGTGTGTGTGTGTGTGTGT